TCTATATGTGCTCTCTCTCTCTCTCTCTCTCTCTCTCTCTCTCTCTCTCTCTCTCTCTCTCTCTCTCTCTCTATCTATCTATTTTTATACATACGTATACAAATGTATCTCTCTCTCTCTCTTTCTCTCTCTCTCTCTCTCTCTGTGTGTATATATATATATATATATATATATATATATATATTACAAAAGATGATTGAATTAATGTTTGTTATATGTAAATAAGCCATTGCCAAACTGCGAGCACACAGGGGTCCCATTTTATTGTCTGTCTACATATGTTGCTGCACCATTAATAGTGAAATATCCACTGCAGTGTTGATGACCATTTTGTTAGCCTAAATATAGCCTCTTTGCAATTTTATTAGCAGTTACCTTTCGTGAGACAAAGTTATTTGGTTTTGTTTAAATGAATAATGTGGAAAACAGTTTGCAGGCCCAATCTAGCACTGCTAACTCAAATATACACTGACAAAATAAGACAAAATATCAGCCAAGTGACGACACGTATCTCAAAAAATGTGGTCAGTCATAAGTTGAAGTAGTATGGTATGCATGAATTGGGACTCTGACTCTTTGGAGATTGCCGCATGTGTGACCCTTCATGTTTCTGCAGGCACTTGTAGAAATGTGGTGGAACACAGACAGTTCTCGAGACAGCTTCAAGCTGGCAAGTACAGTCGCACAATTTCCTGATTCCCATGAGCATTGTATTTTTTGATACCCCGTGAACTAGTGTATCCAAAATCCATTTTCGTAAACACAAGTCAAATTTGACCCTGGAGACCCTCAGTACGAGCAAAGTGAGGAGCACCTGTGCAAAAGAATGATAGATTTTCATTTGTATTTATTTTCAGTTACTTTTTGATCATCGCCATCAATTGGTTCAATTTCAAAGTGAAAGAAAGACGTTTAGGGTATTTTCGTTGCTGTCAAATGATATAATGGCTCACGTATGACTCGGACAGTACATAAGGGACAAAATATTGAATATCGAAAATTGACGAGGTGTGAAAAAAATGAACCTTTTTTCAGGGAAAAAAAAATCAGCTTTTTTCAGGGCAGGGGGTTACAAACAACAAAATAGTCAATTTTCCTTGTTTTGAATTTCACTTGTGAATTGAAAAAAAGGAAGGGATGACAAGTGTATGATACTCTGAAACAGAAGATTTTGATCATATAATGATTCACCTCACATTTTTTATGAATAAAATCTGCCTTTGTTTTTTAATTTGATAGTTTTGTGTGTTAGAAACCTTATGATATGTGACACAACAATACAGAAAATATTCAAACATAAAAGCTCATTGACTCTGACAAGTAACAGGTGGTTGGACATTTCTCTTCTGTAGACACACACACACACACACACACACACACACACACACACACACACACACACACACACACACACACACACACACACACACACAAA